CAGACTCCCTCAGCATCAGTCTCCCTTTGAGGACCCTGGTCTGGGGCAGTGACCTTACACGTATTAAGTGACCACCTCACGAGAGGGGCAATCCCCAGGTCGGCCAGATGCGCAGCATTAGCTGTGGGCGTTAGCGTTAGCATTATTCTTCAGAATGACCAAAGTAGAATGGTGCAACGCAGCACACGTGCTTTTTACTTTTATTTATTTTACTGAGGTTGAGTTCAGTTTGCCTAGACACGGCCTTCTTTCAAAGTGATTTTTCATGGAACTAGTTAGCACTATGCTCTGAATACAGGCACATGGTACAGGATCAGCCGTTCAGATGTTAATAATGTTTCCTGCTAGTGATAAACGATAAAAGAAACTGGAACAATGGAAACCTATGTCTTTCCCTCTAATTGGTGACGAGCTATGATTTAGGGGCGGACATAAGTTTTTTTGGGTTGTAAGACATCTTTTGTATTGGCAGTAGCATTCTTTTTCATTTAAAAATTGTTTATTAAATATTGTGTAGCTATAAAAATATTTCTAAAATGTATGTGAAAGATAATGATACAATAAAAATCCAGTTTAAGAAGAAATTGAGACTTCACGATTTCATTCAAGTTCCCTGTGGACACCTCTAATCCTTTGAGCCTCAGACAGGTAATCTCTTGCCTTTTGAAAAAAATTAAAAAAAAATAGTTTTATTAAAAATATTTCTATTCCCCCAACAAAATATTGCTTAGTTTTACAAGTCTTTGAACTTAACCGTGGTGTCTGTTTTCCTCTCTGACTTTTTCTCGTAGTTCAGTATTTTGAGATTCATCTGTGCGTTGCTGGTACCCAACCTTCGTTTGTTGGAAATTTCGGTTGTGTGAATATACCACCATTTATTTCTCTGTTCTCCTCTACAGGAACTTGGCATCGTTTCCAGTTTTGTTCTCACAACAGGGCTGCTGTGAACATTCTTGTCCGTGTCTCCTGGTGCACCTGTGTACGCGAATGTCGATGTCCTGTGACATGAACGACCTGTTTTCATGTGTATTGGGTGACGCTAAGTCATTTTCCAAAGTCACTGTCTCATTTTAACTCCCCCTGGCTCCATGTAAGGGCCTCGGTTTTTCTCAGTATCTGACAGCTCTTGACACGGTCAGACTTAAAAAGTTTTTGCCAGTCTCTTGGAATAAAGTGATAAGTCATTTAATTTGTATTTTTCTGATGACTAATGCAACTGGGTCTTTTTGTGTTTGTTGGCTGTACATAGTTCCTATTGCAGTAAGTGCTTATTGAAAATTTTTGTCTATTTTTCTACTTGATTATCTTTTTATTGCTGGTTTTTAGGAGTCCTTCATATTTTACATGCATCGTTTTTATGTGTTACAAATTTATTTTCCCCATTTGTGCTTGTGATTCCATGTTCTTTATGGCTTCTTTTCAGGAAGAGAAATTCTTGACTTTAGTGAAGTCCATTCATTAATGTTTTTCTACGTGGTCGGTGGCTGTATCAATGAGGCAGGTGGCCCCTGAGGGGAGGTGGTTGAGGAAGGTTTGGTGAGGGGACTGTGGGGATATTTTGTGGTATGTTTCCCGGAAACCATTACTCTCTCTGGGGGGAAGGAGCAAGATGCAACACCAGAAGGGAGCTGCCGGTGGGAGCTGTGGTTGGTAGTAGTATTTGTGAACACTTCAAAATTTGTTTGGAACCCAGACATTGCCGACCCGCTGACCATCAGGGCAGGCACTGAGAAGTAACTAGGGCAACTTCACTGTCCTCCTGACTTTGACCGTCACCAACTGGACGAGTCCGGCGGGAAGTAAGTGGGGACAGGTGGTGCCAGGAGAGGCCCAGAAGTTGAACTTCCAGGAGCAGGAGGTGGGGTCTGAGGCACACACAGCATCCAGGCTCCTCTGTGGTGTCTCCTAGAGGGTTTGGAGCACACACAGCATCCAGGCTCCTCTGTGGAGTCTCCTGGAGGGTCTGAGGCACACACAGCATCCAGGCTCCTCTGTGGAGTCCCCTAGAGGGTCCGAGGCACACACAGCATCCAGGCTCCTCTGTGGTGTCTCCTGGAGGGTCTGAGGCACACACAGCATCCAGGCTCCTCTGTGGAGTCTCCTGGAGGGTCTGAGGCACACACAGCATCCAGGCTCCTCTGTGGAGTCCCCTAGAGGGTCCGAGGCACACACGGCGTCCAGGCTCCTCTGTGGAGTCTCCTGGAGGGTCTGAGGCACACACGGCGTCCAGGCTCCTCTGTGGAGTCTCCTGGAGGGTCTGAGGCACACACGGCATCCAGGCTCCTCTGTGGAGTCTCCTGGAGGGTCTGAGGCACACACAGCATCCAGGCTCCTCTGTGGAGTCCCCTGGAGGGTCTGAGGCACACACGGCGTCCAGGCTCCTCTGTGGAGTCTCCTGGAGGGTCTGAGGCACACACAGCATCCAGGCTCCTCTGTGGAGTCTCCTGGAGGGTCTGAGGCACACACAGCATCCAGGCTCCTCTGTGGAGTCCCCTAGAGGGTCCGAGGCACACACGGCATCCAGGCTCCTCTGTGGAGTCTCCTAGAGGGTTTGGAGCACACACAGCATCCAGGCTCCTCTGTGGAGTCTCCTGGAAGCTTTGTCCTTTTCCTGTACCCCAGGTCTTTAATCCACCTGCAGTCTATCTAATCCTTCAGCTATCTCTTCATGTTTCTGATTTCAATGAAAAGAAGTGATTTGGGGCACATTTGTGTGGTTTGTCATCACTGTAAATTATAGTTTCCTTTAGGTTTATCAGGTTTAAAAAGTTCCCTTCTGTTCCCAGTTTGCTGTGTCATTTTAAAAACCACAAATGGATGTTAAATTTTCACGAATGCTTTTTCTTCCTCTGTTGAGATTATAATATAATGTTTCTCCTTTAATCTGTTACTGTTTTAAATATTAATATATTTTCTAATCTCAGATTTGCATTGTGGGTTATGGTTTAACTTGTACCAATTTTGTTTTTTTGCTTTTCCATATTTGACTTGCTTTTATTTTGCGTAGGATTTTTTTCATCCGTGTACCTGCATGATTCTAGGCTGTTCTGCTTCCCTGGTTTCTGTCGATATGATTAACTTCATGCCAGATGAATACACTGAGTTGTAACTTGGTGCTTTTTATTTACTTGGGATAGTTTCTGTACAGTTGGAATTCTTTTACTTTAAATATTTTGTAGAACTTGACGTTAAAAGCGGGTGGGCCCAGTGTTTTCTTTGAGGGAAGATTCAAATCCACTGACTCGGTAACTCTAGTCATTACAGAAATAGTCAGGTTCTCTGTTTCTCCTTGAGATGGTTCAGGAAAATTTAATCTAAACTTTTCCAAAACATCTTCGATTTCAAATTTATTGGAAAAGTCCCCGGTGCCTCTTACACTCTCTTTGGTGTCTGTGTTGGTTTTAGTTATATTCTCCTTTTCATTGATATTTTTATTTCAGTGCCTTTTTATTATTAACAAACATTAAAATAACTCTAATAACAGCTTAATTGGGATATAGTTTATATACTTTCTCTTTTTCTATAAACTCTGGCTGGAATTTCTCGATGGACTAGCCCTGTTTTGGTGGTTGTTGGGTCATCTCTATTGTGTACTTTTTTCTCTTTAGTTTTTATTAATTTCTCCTCCCCCTTTACTGTTCCTTCTCTGCTTTCTTTGTTATATCCTATGGCTCTTTTCTAGCTTTTTAGGTTGTATGCTCAGCTTGTTTATTTATTTATGCTGCTCTTTCTACTTAATATGAGTTTTTAAGGGGTAAGAACTTCCTGTGAGATATCACTTTAGCTGGGTTCCACAAATTTGGGTGCACAATCTTCAGTTCTCAACACCTTGTACCCCCACCCCTCCCCCAGCCGCAGACACCTGCACATCTGCTCTGCGTCCCTGAGTGTCGCTTTCCCAGAATGCCCTGTAAGTGGGGTCCCATGGTGCATAGGCTTCGAGCTGGCTGCTTCCACTTAGCATAATGCGTCTAAGAGTCATGCACACCACTGTGTGCGTCAATAGTTCAGACTTTCAAATTGCTGAGTAATATTCCACTACAGGAATGTGCCAGTTTCTTTATCAACTCCCTTGTGGAAAGATATTTGAGCTGTTTCCAGCTTCTGGCAATTAGGAATAAAGCTGCTATACATGTTCGCGTGCAGGATTTTATGTGAAAATAGGGTTTCATTTCACGTGGGTGTTTCACTTCAACCCCAAGGATGGGGATAGCTGGTCAAACGGTGTACGTTTAACTTCATAACAAACCGCTGAGCTGTTGCCTCAGTGCCTGCACGACTGTGTCCCTGCCAGCAGCGCGTGTGGATCCCCGCGGCTCCAGGTCCTGCAGGCGCCTCATGGGGTCCGTGTAATTTCTCCCAGATTTTCCAGGAGTGGGTGGGGTGTCTCTGTTAAGGATTTTACCGAGTTTCTCTAATTACTGATGCCATTGAGCCTCTTTTCATGTGCTTACTTTCCATCGTTATTCCCTGATGAAGTGTCTGTTAGTATTTTGCCCATTAAAAAACAATTGGGTTGTTTGTATTTTAGTGTTTAATTTTGAAATTTCCTTATGTGTCTGGGTACAAGTCTTGTGTGCGGTATGTGATTTGCAAATATAGTCTCCCCATCTGTGAGTTGTCTTTTCTTTTTCTTAGCAGTCTCTTTTGAATGAAAGAGTATTTTAATTTTACTAGTGTGCAATTTATCACTTTTTTTTATGGGTTGTGCTTTTGAAGTTGTGTCTAAGAACTCTTTCCTACCCCAAGGCGAGAAAGATTTTCTTCTATGATTTCTTCAGAAAGTTTTATAGTTTAGGTTTTACATTTAAGTCTATGATCTACTTTTGACTAATTTTAGTGTAAGATGTGAAGAAATAGCTCAAAGTTTGTTCATTTATTTATTGCATATGATTCACTTGCTCTTTAAACTTTTAAAAATATTTTTCAGCACATCACTATATTTAAAAAGGATTTTTACAATGGTTTTATCCTGAATGTCTGTTTCCAGTGTGCGTGTAAACAGAGTGTCTGGCCAACCACACTCTTGGGAAGAGAAAATTTGTTAGTTCTTCACGGATGCTTTCATTCTGCAGGGACGTTTTTGGGAAGGAACTATTTACTCACTTTTTATATTGTTTGATACTCAACTAATTTTATGCACTTATTAAATAATTTTTATTTTAGCATTAAACAGTCAACCTTGCCCCATGTGTTTGCACATCATATATATGGTTAATTAATGCATTGTGGAGTTAACAAAGAAGAGTTTTCTAAACATTTAAATACCAATTTAGAAAGTATGCAGCCATTTAGAAACATTTAATTTAATTCTCAGTTCTCACATAGCAGAATCTCTTAAACACTGTGTTCTGAACTTCTTGACAAACACAGACAAAAATACCACAATGGTTCTAAAGCTAGTAAAAACCCTTATAGGATATTATAAAATGTTATACTTTTGACTAACCATATTAAGAAAATTTTCCTTCTTCCTCTAAGTAATCTATTTCGTAAGATTATAATTTTGGAATTCACGCTCCTACAACTTTTAAAAGGCTCAGGTCTTAGGTTTCCCAGCTGCCTCTGCGGGTCTTGGGCAGTGGACTTTTGGTGAGTGGGGCAGCTTTGCAGAGCCAGGCAGTTGAGGCACAAACCACTGATATTCAGATGGATCCCTTTTATGTGGTCAAGTAAGTGTTATGTCATTAGACTCTTATGCCCCCGTTTTTGTGTGGTTTTGGATTTTGGGAGACTTGGTCTTTTTCCACTAATGTCGCATTTTTTTTAAAGGTTTGTGCACCTTGTATTTCTTATGGCATATCAATCTGGTCTGTTATTATTACTAAAAATGTATGTGTTGCTTTAACAGCTTTCATTATAAATAGGAGAACTGTTTAGAGGTTTTGTCTCCTAGGAGATGAGGGCTGGGTCTGTGTGGTTAGCTCTTCTCTGAGGAGATTTGGCTAATTTATCATTTTGGAATAAACTTTCTTCTTTTGTGACAAGTGGTGCCCTAAATTGTTGGCTACTTTCTCTCTGGTTAATTATATGTGACCTGCTGCTGCTTGATCCTTTCTGTTCTTGTATAGTCTCTGCTTTTACAGAATCTGTCTCACTCCAACTTTTATTCAGTTTTCTGCTTTCAAAGACAGAATAAAGAGCATAATTATGCTTATGAACAGACTAATGCTGATCAGAAGAAACAAAACATCCTCATGTACCTATTTGTTTCTATGTATTAAAATCAATAACAAGTAGATGTTTAGTTATATTTTTCTTGGTATTTCAATTGTGTTCTTAAAACACTATATTAATTCTATTCACCTGAATTTCATTATGGACTTTGGCTTTTATACAGATTTAACTTATTCCACTTGCTATTCTTCTTCTTCTTATTATTAAGTTTTGGTCTGATGGTCACAACTTGTCCACTGAAACCCCCTCCCGGCTTCACGTGACTCTTTGTCGCTTTAGCACAGCCCCTGGCATCCTTGAGGTTATTCTTGCTTTTTAGTAACAACAGGATGTTTCATGTGTATCCTGATTTTTTTCTTGTCTCCAGACATGGAATTGCTGTCTTCCAAGGAGTTCCAGTGGAGAATAAAGTCTGAGTGCCAGAGGGAGGTGGTGGCGGGTACCAGCCCCACCGCTGCTGAGAATCCTAATTAAGAGAGAGCTGAAAAGCAACTTGTTAGGACGTTCTGCTCTCATTAACTCTTCCCACTTTCCGTATCTATCATCTGCCCGTACCTGACTTCTTCTGGTGCATTGTTTCCTCCACCAGAAAGCCTCCTCCGTATTTACCAGAGCAAAGCCAGTGATCTCTGGAGTCCCTGAGATTTCCCAGGGAACACGTGTGTTTTTGCAGCAGGAACGTGGGGCAGTAGCTGGTGTCTGTCACTCTCTCAGTGGTCTGCAACCTTGTGTCAGTTTGATGTTGCCTTGTATCAAATGTCTTAGTGCTCTAGTTTGGGTTGGTTTCTTGGGAAGAGGTGATGAAAAATTTGGGTGAGCGGTTTTTTGAACTTTTCATCTGTTGCTGGTAGGAGAGGTGAAATGTTACCACTGCATGTTGCAGGAACCACTTTACCTGTGAGGAAATTGTATTTTCCAAGTTACAGTATTTTTTAGAAAAAAAATCACCATAGTTTACTTTTCAGTAATTTTACTGTTTCACAGAATGCTTAAGATAAATATATAATAAGAATATTTTAGAATAGGGCAGCTAATATTTTAACAATGTGATATAGTATATGGGTATATGTGTGTTTATGGGTGTGTGGGTCTATGAAATATGTTTGTTGTTTCTGTAATCCAGGTAAATGCTGGCGTGTTTTATTATGCCCACATAATAAAAGTAGGATCCAACAGAAGCCAATGTGTGCATTTTTGGACTTTGTATATTTTATAATTGTTTTACAGTAGGATGAAATTTTAAATATTGTGAAGCTATTTGGCTGCTATTAAACTCATACTGAAAACATGCCACACTGTTTTAATTTGGTATGATTTAATGGTAAACAAATCCTATCTCAGTGATACCAGAATGATCATTAAAAATGTTTTTTTTTCACTTTAAAGAATTTAGAGGTACTCGTGGAATTTGGTAACGGTTTTGCTCGTGCAGTATCGTCTTTTACCCTGTCTGTTTTCATCCTTGAAATAACCAAGATTCACACCATTGAAACGTTTTCTGTAAAGAGACAATTTACAGAGGCATGTTCTTAAATGTTAGGAGGTGAGAGCGGATGATGAAAGATACACTTTCTAGGTTCCAGAAGGGGTTTTGTCTATCGCAACACTGTTTTTTTAATATAGATTTCCTGCGTCTCTGTGCAGCGGATGTTTGCCCGTGAAGGGGGCCTAATGGAAAAGCCTGTGAAACGTCCCTCCTAATGTGTCTAAGCCCAAAGGGTTCTATTCTTCTTCATGGACAGGTTTGTAACTTTCCCCCTACCTGGTTCTCAGGACACATTTCTGGGACGTATGCTTATTATTTTTACTAACCCTTATCCTTGTCTTAATTAGAAAAATAACATCAAGAGGATAGAAAAAAAGCCACCAGACAGTGGCTTCCCACTGCAGGCAGGTGTAAATGCATGTGTTAAAGATCGTCTTCCTGACTCAGCCAAGGTCTTCAATTTCAGAGCTGGAGAGAGTCAGTGACTGACCGTTTTCCTGTGGCCTTGTTCCCGTCCCCGTGGGTGACTGGTTGAGCTGGATTCACTTGGTGCTGCCTCGGTGAAGAGAGAATCTTCCAGTCCTGGTTAGGCTGATGATCACTCCTACGGAAACTGAATCAGCAGCCCCTGCTTGGTGAACGTCGTGTCTGAAGATGTGACTGTTGCTCTGCAGAACCTTTGGTGTTTGTTTCTACCAGTGCCTTCCAGCAAGCTGGGAGTGCCTTGCAAAGTGCTCTGCAGACCAGGTGACATGAGGTTTGTTCCTCACGCACTGGTCTCTGTCTTATTTTTGTTTCTGGTGACTTTCAGAGGAGCAGTTGGTTTTGCTAAGTGCAGTCCATCTGTAAAAGTCCTCAGGACGCTTGGCAGGATCGGCAGACAGCTTTTCCGAAGGGCTGCATCTTCCTTCTTTTAAGTAAACGTCGAGGGCTTTGGCTGGGTGCCGGTTCTGTGAAGTGCGGTTTCACTGAGGAGGACCGTTAGTTTAGGGAGCCTGTGGCCGGCACTCTGATTTGTGAGCTTTAATACGAAAACCCTTCTAGAAATGTGAGCCCATAGCTTGGTGTGTTTGCGCCGTGGCGTCCATCGGAGTTTTACAAGGCAGATTATCGGAACCCTGTCCTGACAGTGTATGTTTGATTTGCACGTCATCCAAATAATTCAGCTCCTTTTTTACAACGTGGAATGAAGCGTGACTGATCGCAGAGGCCGTGGTCACCTTGTCAAAGATGCCCTCTGAGTAACATTCTGTGGCGCCCACTGTGTATTTCCCACCTGGTTTAATCCCTCCGTTTTGCAGATAAAGAATCTGAGAGTAAGTGAGTCTCTGCCCCTTCAGGTCCAGGGTCGGCGCCAGGTTGCAGCCGCCAGCACCCCACTGTCTCGTGTGCCCGCACAGACCTTTCTGTGGGGCTCTTTATCAGACTCTCCTCCAGTTACCCAGATGGCGTCAGGGATTTTGCTGGGACCCTGACGGATACATACTGATAGCATAATAATGTTAATAAAAGGCCCTAAGACATTTGTGACACAGAACTGAGTCTTCACATCCTGTGAAATTTCCCTAGAAAACAAAGACACGCGATTTTGATTTAGAGCGGGGTTCTTAACTTGGGGTGCAGGGACCCCTCAAGGGGTTAGCGGGTAGGAATTCACGTGGCTCTGTGAGCCTGGATAGGAAAGACACTGTCTTTGTTTTCAGCAGCTTCTGATTGGAATTTACCATTTCCTTTAATTATCAGTGTAGGCAGCAAGCCACAGCACTGTCACCTGTGACCAAGAGAGACGGCAGATGTTTTCGTGTCACGTCCATGTTGTCACGTTATCTTGAGTGGTGAGCTCGTCAGTGCTTTGAAATTAGTGTCAGTGTTATACCTACCGCTACATCGTCTAATGTAACGTGTTAATAAACATCTGATATCGTCACATCATGGTTAAGAATACTTGATTACTCAGTTTCAGTGCAACCATCCTGTGTGTTTTATCATGTGCATCTGTGCACGTTGTTCTGAGAAGGGGTCCGTGGGCTTGTGTAGTAGCTCAGGGCATTTACCCATCCACCTGACCGTCGGGACGAATGACCAGAAAGTGTGTGGACAGTTGTCTGTTATCAGTGCAATGGATACGAGGACGTGTGGATTTCCTGTTCATTTAACAAGTTCACTGGCATCTCCTAGGGGCCACGCACCCAGCGATGCACAATGCTGTCCCTGTCATGGGGCTACTTGATGCTGGGTGACAGGCAGTGCTAGTGGCTCCATGTCTCAGTCTCCAACATTTACTCATAGACCGAGGTGTCATTACTGCTGTCCCTCTTTTATCATGGCGGACACTGAGCCTTAGAAAGATTCAACAACCTTCTCAAGGTCACTCAGTGGGTGAGTGGAGGAGCTGGGATACAGAGCCGGTCGGCCTGGTGCCTCCTGCTGTGCTGTGCTGCTCATGAGCCAAAAGACGACCACTGCCTTCCAACCAGCCAAGGGCTTCACTCTGGAGAAAAACCGAGACTCACTTGTCACCATGCGTGTGCTGAGATTCCAGGAATCTACACACTCGAGGCTAGAATCCAACATTGCAGGTTAAGGATTGCACAGGATGGGGTAAGAAAGTCTGCTTTCTCTCCCACCCTGCTCTCTGTCTGTTGAATATGCACCTCTTTGTTTTGTCTCCCTGTGTCTCAGAGTTTGAGCAGAAGGAACTGTTGATGGGACCTGTGCTTTGTCATGGGCTTCATTTGCCTCCATCCTGCATGTAGCAAAATCACCATCACCATACAGTGAAGACACCATCACCCTATGGTGAAGTCACCTTTACCCTATAGTGAGGACACCACCACCAACAGTGAAGTTACCATCATCATATAGTGAGGGCACCATCACCCTACAGTAAAGACACCATCACCCTATAGTGAAATCACCATCACCCTACAGTAAAGAACCATCACCCTATATTGAAATCACCATCAGCCTACAGTGAAGACACCATCACCCTATAGTGAAGTCACCATCACAATACAGTGAAGTCACCATCAGCCTACAGTGAAGTCACCATCACCCTATAGTGAAGTCACCATCACAATACAGTGAAGACACCATCAGCCTACAGTGAAGTCACCATCACCCTATAGTGAAGTCACTATCACAATACAGTGAAGTCACCATCACCCTACAGTAAAGACACCATCACCCTATAGTGAAGTCACCATCACAATACAGTGAAGACACCATCACCCTATAGTGAAGTCACCATCACAATACAGTGAAGACACCATCACCCTATAGTGAAGTCACCATCACAATACAGTGAAGACACCATCACCCTATAGTGAAGTCACCATCACAATACAGTGAAGACACCATCACCCTATAGTGAAGTCACCATCACAATACAGTGAAGACACCATCACCCTATAGTGAAGTCACCATCAGCCTACAGTGAAGTCACCATTAGCCTACAGTGAAGTCACCATCACCCTATAGTGAAGTCACCATCAGCCTATAGTGAAGTCACCATTAGCCTACAGTGAAGTCACCATCACCCTATAGTGAAGTCACCATCACCCTACAGTAAAGACACCATCAGCCTATAGTGAAATCACCATCAGCCTACAGTGAAGTCACCCTCACCATATAGTGAAGTCACCATCACCCTACAGTGAAGTCACCATCACCCTATAGTGAAGTCACCCTCACCCTATAGTGAAGTCACCCTCAGCCTACAGTGAAGTCACCATCACCCTATAGTGAAGTCACCATCACCCTATAGTGAAGTCACCCTCAGCCTACAGTGAAGTCACCCTCAGCCTACAGTGAAGTCACCATCACCCTATAGTGAAGTCACCATCACCATACAGTGACGTCACCATCATCACCTAGGGAAGACAACATCTCCATGTGTAAGGTCACCATCGCCTCCTGCCTGGTGTCTTGGAGCAGCTTTTCTTGCCCATCTTTCTCGCTGTGTCTCTTCACATCTTGTTCTCTCCGTACGTGTCTGTCTCTGTGTCCAAATTTCCCTTTTTATAAGGGTTCCAGGCCTGTTGGATAAGAGTTCACCCTAATGACCTCCATTTAGCTTGATTTTCTCTGTGAAAACCTTGTGTACAAATAAGGTCACATTCAGGTTTTAGGGGTTAAGACTTCAGTGTACTTTGAGTAGGGGGAACACACGTCAACCTATAACACAACTAATGGCAAATCCAATGAAACTGTCATGATACTTTTCTCTGTCTTCTGTCTGTTTATGGGCTGTAAATTTTAATGAATTGTCAGCTTCATTGTACTCGAGATTCTGTGGGCCATTTTCGTCTTTCTTCTGCCAGCTTAATTGATTGTCTGCCTGTGATGAATAAGCAAATCAAAATCCTCTACTTCTTAGGCTTTAATATAAATTGCAGACAGAATATTATGCTCTGAGAAACAGTGTTTGTACTGATTACATTACCTCCTGTCACATTAGCATCCTTGCTGGTTCCCAGTTTCATAAAGGATAAAATATTCACCAAAACCCAGCGTGGCTTTGGGTGGTGCATCCATATGCTGTGTGTTCACTTTCTCACATGGATCGACTGTTGCTTTACGAAAGGGTTCCATTTCACTTTGTGTTGTTTTCACGTATGAATCCAGTGAGCAGTTCAGCTGTTTCCATCACAGGTATTTCTGGAGCTTGTTGAGTGTTTGCTGTGTGGACGGGGTGCTGCACACGGGTCTTCAGACTCATGGAAGACGCAGTTTAAAAGTCTTTGGGGAGACGGGCTCAGTGATGACACATTAAATAACGATAGATAAGTGCTCTCAAGAAGAAATTCAGTGCTTGGAGCTTTCGTTGTAGTTGGGTGCTAAAGCTTGAGTACAGCGCTCCCTTCAGCTGTGTGTCGGGGTCCCCAAGGACACCCCCAGGTTCGGCGGTCCATGGGGAGGGCTCCCAGGGCTCAGCATACAGTCGTACTCATGGCTATGATTTTTACAGCAAAAGTTTGTTCTCTGATGGCTTAAGTGTTGGATGTGCTGTCACATCTCCCGCTGCTCCCTCCTCCGCCCCAGCGCAGGCTGGCTTTCTGTCATGTTGCGTTGAGAACAGCAAGCCTGTTCTGGACTCAGGGCTCTTGTGCTCTCTCACCCTTCTGCCTAGGATGACGCTCACCGTGTGTTCAGTTTGTCGGGGCTGCTGTAACAACACATCACGCCCTGAATGGCCTCTGACAACAGAAATCTGTTGTTTCCCAGTTCTGGAGGTGGGTGCCCTCGGGGGGCGTTCCTTCTGAGGACTGTGAGGGAGGGGTCTCTGCTTTGCTTGCAGATGGTCTTCTCGCTGTGTCTCTTCACATCTTGTTCCCTCCATACGTGTCTGTCTCTGTGTCCAAATTTCCCCTTTTATAAGGGTTCCAGGCCTGTTGGATAAGAGTTCACCCTAATGACCTCCATTTAGCTTGATTATCTCTGTGAAAACCTTGTGTACAAATAAGGTCACATTCAGGTTTTAGGGGTTAAGACTTCAGTGTACTTTGAGTAGGGGGAACACACGTCAACCTATAACACCATGTTTTGAGCATTTTCTTTGTAACGCCTCTGTTCTCCACTGACTTGGGTGCTCCACCAGCATTCTGGGTATGTTTTGGGTTGTACTACATGCCTAACAGCTAACACTGGTGCTCGAATCTATTATGAACTCCAGAAATGTTTGTTGAATGACTGAATGACTAAAAAGGGGTGACCAGAGAGGCAGAAGGAGGACCAGGAGGTTGGCATAGAGAGGAAGCCAAGAGCAGAGGGTTTCAAGAAGGTGGGGGTGCATATCAGTACCTCCTGGGATAGACACGTCAGGAAGGAGGATGGTAAAATGTCTGGGAAACTGTACCATTGAGGACAGATTTCATTTGGTTGGGGACGGAACGGGAATAATGGAAGCAGGGACGTAAGTTATAATTTTTGAGGCAAACAAAACAAGTTGGGGACTTATCCCACGTATTAGAGGCTGGTTCTACAATTGAAAATCAATTAATGTAATCCATCACTTCAGCAGCCAAAGAAGAAAAGTCACATGATCATATCGACAGTTGAGAAAAAGCATTTGACAGAATCCAACATCTAATCATGATAAAAACTCTGAGCAAACTGGGAGTCCAGGGGGAGCTTCCGCACTAGATAATCTACAAGAACCCCACAACTAACATCATACTCAATGCTGATAAACTAGATTCTTTTCCTCTAAGATCAAGACCAAGGGAAGGCTGTCTCCTCTTTCCTCTCCTTTGGAACTTCGTACTGGAACTCCTGGCTTATGCAGCACCACAAGGAAAGGCAGTGAAAGGCATACAGATTGGGAAGGAAGAAATAAAACTGTTTGAGGTGACATGTTTGTTTTTGTAGAAAATGACAAAGAACCATTAAAAACCCTCTCAGAACTGGTAAGCAATCATAGCCAGGTTGCAGAATACAAGGTTAATATACAAAAGTCAGTTGCTTTCTTATATCCCAGAAATGAAAAATTGGAATTTGAAATAAAAAACAATTTATTTTAGCACCAAAAATGAAATACTTAGGTAAAAATCTGACAAAAAATGTACAAGATCTATATGAGGCTAACTCCAAAACTCTGATGAGAGATATCAAAGAAGAACTAAATAAATGGAGAGAGATTCCATGTTCATGGATAGGAAGACTCAATGTTGTTGAGATGTCAGTTTTTCACAACTTGATCTATAGATTCATTGAAATTCCAGTCAAAACACCAGTAAGTTATTTTGTGAATATCAACAAACTGATTGTAAAGTTTATTTGGAGAAGCACAAAACCCAAAATAACCAACACCGTAATGAAGGAGAAGAACAAAGTCAGAGGACTGGAACTATGCACGTTCAAGACTTACCATAAATACAGCTACAAGGGCTGACCTGGTGGTGTCGTGGTTAAGTTTGCGCACTCCACTTCAGTGGCCTGTGGTTCACGGATTCAGATCCTGGGTGTGGATCTACACACCACTCATCAGGCCATGCTGTGGTGGTGCCCCGCATACAAAGTGTAGGAGGATTGGCAACAGATGTTAGCTCTGGGACAACCTTCCTCATGCACATACAAACACACGGCTATGGTAATCGAGAGAGTGTGGTGTTGGTGAAAGAATAGACAAATAGATCAGTGGAACAGAATAGAGAGCCCAGAAATGGACCTAGATAATTGTACTTAACTGGTCTTTGGCAGAGTAGCAAAAGCAACACAATGGCGAAAAACACTTGGTGCTGGGACAATGGTACATCCACACACACAAAATGAATCCAGACACATGCTTACATCCTTCACAAAAACCAACTCAAAATGGACCACAGACCTAAACGTAAAATGCAAAACTATACAACTTGTAGAAGATAACATAGAAAGTCTGGATGACCTTGGTAGGGTGATGAGTTTTTAGATTCAGCACCAAAGGTGTGATCCATGAAAGAAAGAATTGATCAGCTGGACTTCATTGAAATAAAGAATTTCTGCTCTGTGAAAGACAATGTTAAGAGAATAAAGAGACAAGCGACAGACTGAGAGAAAATATTTGCAAAAGACATATCTGACAAATGATTAGTACCTGAAATATACAGAGAATTCTTAAAACTGAACAGTAAAAGAAACAACTCAATGTAAAAATGAACAGAAGATTTGAATGGATATCTCACCAAAGAAGAAATACGTGGGTAAAAATCTAACAAATATCTCTATACAGGTGGCAAATACATGTATGAAAAGAAGTTCAACATCGTATGTCATTAGGGACTTGCAAAGTAAGACAGCAATGAGATGCCACCACTCACCTGTTAGAACGGCCGAAATCCAGGACACGGACAACACCAAGTGCTGGGGAGGGTGGGAAGCAACAGAACTCTCCTTGCTCCTGGCAAATGCAAAATGGAACACTCGTTTTGGAAGACAGTTTAACAGTTTCTTAAAAAACTAACCATACTCTTACCATTTGACCCAAAGAAACATGCTCCTTGGTATTTACCCAAATGAGTTGAAAACTTACTTCCACACAAAATCTTGCCCCCAGATGTTTATGGCAGTTTTAGTTCATAACTGCCCAAACTTGGAAGCAACCAAGATGTCCTTTAATAGACGAATGGGTAGACCAACTGTGGCAGATGTATACAGTGGAGCATGTTGCTGGGTGATAAAAAGAAATGAGCTATCAAGCCATGAAAAGGCCACATACTGTATGATTCCACCTCTATGACATTCTGGAAAAGGCAAAACTATGGAGACAGCAGAAAGATCAGTGGGTGCCAGGGTTTGGGGGTGGGGAGGGTGAATAGGAGGATTTTCAGGGCAGTGAAACTATTCTGTATGGTACCATAATAGTGGATACATGACGTTGTGCGTTTATCAAAACCCACGTAGAAGTGTATAACAGAGAGAGTGAACCCTAATGTGACCTGTGGACCGTAGTTAATAATAATATGTCAATATTGGCTCAGCAGTTGTAACACATGTTCCACACTGACCCAAGACGTTAATAAAGGGCAACTGGGAGGGATGAGGAATGGGTTATACGTGAACTCTTGTGCTTTCCTCTCAATTTTTTTGTAAGCCTAAAACTGCTCTAAAAAATAAAGTCTATTTATTTAAAAAATGAGTTTACATACTTATTTTATTGTCACCAAAAAATGGAGAGGTGGACAGCCCTGTGTTTGGGTGACCGTAAGCACCTTGCTGGAAGAGCTAGTTGGTGGCAGGACTCAGGGTTCGAAAAGAGGTCGTCTGCTTCGGGCCTCAGTACATTGTCTACAGCACGGAAACTCATTAGCTAATTGCCTCGCTGCTGGAGCGTTCTGGCGGGAAGTTCCTGTCTCAGACTTGTAAATCTTGCGGACTGTGGTGTGCCGTCTGGCATCAGGACACATGAATGCACTTGGTGAGGAGCGGCGCTGACAAAGGACTGGAATGTCCTTGGGATGCTACAGTCCCCTGTGGTTGCTCTGGTGCACGAGTCTCGTCCAGGGTCCGGTTGTCCGAACAGCCAGCGTGGACTCATTCACAGCCCTGCCTGGAGTGAGGGATGCGGTGCAGGAAGGATGCTGCCGGTAGCTGAGATGAAAGCCTTGGCTACGTTACAGAGAAAGACATGGAAAGACAGGCTTCAAACAGCTTCTCATAGTACTTCTAATGTTGAGGTTTTGCCTTTTTTTTTTTTTTTTTGCAGCTTTTTAGTGTTAATGGTGATAAAAAATCGATTGAAATTCTTGTTAGCTGACATGGTTTCTTTACATACTAAATTTGGTTTTTGTTTTATATCATTGTTTCCCAATTAAAGAAATAAACCAAGAAGGATAAATATTTCTTGGTTTTTGGTCTTTTTGTCCTTTTGCTGTAGATTCTATAATGGCTCTGAGGAGTTTTTCATTGTTCTTCGAGTAGCACTAACCACAACCTTTCAAGTGTGACCTTTGTTATGCAAATTTTCAAATCCACTGGTTAGAAATTACAATGGAGTTCTGGGATGACTTCCCAGGTTTTGCAGAAAAATCACTTTAATTACCAATAACTCATTGCTGCTGCCAACTCTGCTGATATTATCAAATGGCAAATCGACTGGCCTGTTTGCCGTGACTTAAAAATAAAGGCAGCTCTGTAGTTAGAAGAAGTCGCCACGGCTCTCCATCCCTGCATCACTGTGGCTCTCCATCCGTGCATCACCGTGGCTCTCCATCCCTGCGTCACCGTGGCTCTCCATCCCTGCATCACCGTGGCTCTCCATCCCTGCGTCACCGTGGCTCTCCATCCCTGCGTCACCATGGCTCTCCATCCCTGCGTCACCGTGGCTCTCCATCTGCGTGGCTCTCCATCCCTGCATCACCGTGGCTCTCCATCCCTGCGTCACCGTGGCTCTCCATCCCTGCATCACCGTGGCTCTCCATCCCTGCGTCACCGTGGCTCTCCATCCCTGCATCACCGTGGCTCTCCATCCCTGCGTCACCGTGGTTCTCCATCCGTGCGTCACCGTGGCTCTCCATTCCTGCATCACCGTGGCTCTCCATCCCTGTATCACCGTGGCTCTCCATCCCTGTGTCACCGTGGCTCTCCATCTGCGTGGCTCTCCATCCCTGCATCACCGTGGCTCTCCATCCCTGCGTCACCGTGGCTCTCCATCCCTGCGTCACCGTGGCTCTCCATCCCTGTATCACCGTGGCTCTCCATCCCTGCATCACCGTGGCTCTCCATTCCTGCATCACCGTGGCTCTCCATCCCTGTATCACCGTGGCTCTCCATCCTGATGGGGGAAATCTTCCTCGTCATGGACCGAGCAGCTTCCTAAGGCTGGTAGTGAGCCTGTAGGGATCCGTGTTTCTCAGGAAAGCATTGAGTCTCAGTGATTGAAGTAAGCTGAATGAGTATTCCTTCTCTTTTCAATCCTTAACCGATCACCCTGTATTGAGACGGTTTCTCTCTTTCGTTTCTTTGCAAATATATAAACATGACGAGTGTTCATTCACTGTTTTGTTCATTCATTCCACAAGTATTTCTTTGTCATGTGTGTGTCACAGGCATGCGTCTGGATGACAGATACCCAGCAGGTAAACCCCTGATTAAAGTCTAGTTGGTGAGAGATACAAAGGACGAGTAAACAAATAATGATAGAATATTATGCAAAATAGTAATTTCTGTGAAGAAAATATGAAATAGGAAAAGGGGGGAGAGAGTGATGGGGGGTTATCCCGCATAAGACGGCCTCTCTCTGGAGGTGACGTGGACGGGAACCTGGATGAGGTGAGGATGAGAGCCTGTGGATGAATATTTCAGACAGCAGGAACCACAGGGACAAAGGCCCTGAGGTGGGGCTGTGTGTGATGTGGCCACAGAGCAGTTGGAGCAAAGGGAGGAGGGGAGGTGGCCTGGGGCCAGAGGGGCCGCGGGGAATTGTCTTATTCTCCGTGTGGTGGGCAGCTGCTGGAGGGCTTTGGCAGGGGGCGCAGTCTGACTTGAATTCGCCAGCATCCCTCTGCCTTTCTGTCGAGAGTAGAGACTGTAGCAGAGTGAGTGGAGGGCCAGACAGCAGCCCCAGCCGTGGTCCAGGAGAGAGAAGTGGTGGAGACGGGCTTCCATCCTGGGTGCCTCTTGAGAGTAGAGCTAACAGAATTGAGTGGTGAGTTAGGTGGATGTGGTGTGGGAGGAAGAGCGTGGTCAAGGGCGACGTTGGGTATTGGCCTGAGAACTGGGTAAATGGTGCGCCACTTACTGCGTTGTCTTCATTTATCAGGTTCCTGCGTCACCTTCCGCTGGCCGTCGTATCAGACCTCGGGTTCCAGGTGGACAGCCCCCCTGCCCTCCCCTCACTTTGCACGTGGTGTCTCCTCCGCAGGCGGTGGTTGCTCCCCACCTTTCACCTGACAAATGTCTTTTTTAAGGTTCAACTGAAAGCTCATCTTTGTGAGTGTGCCCTAGTTCTGTTTGCCTCCACCTTCTCCCGAACGGCACCCCCAGTGGGCCCGGCTCCCTCGGGGCATTTGTTTTAACCACTTCAGTCCTTCTCTCTGGACGTAGCTCTAAGCGCCTGGAGGGCCAGGTGCCCACGGTGCCAGCAGACATAGACACCTGGCTGTTGAGAATCTGATGTAAGGTTTTATCTGAGTAAAATGCTTTTATAAAGCATTCATCTATTTGCAGTTAATTCTTAGACCATTAATGCTGATGTACGATTTTCTTCACTTTTTATAAACTATTTCAGGGGCACACTTACGAATAGAGAACAAGGTACTGCTCACCACTCTGTCACTCCTCATGTTTGTTAAATCGTAACATCGTGCCTAATAGGCTTCATGCTTCCCTTTTTCGAAGACATAGGCATTGAGGATGCAATTCCCGGAGGATCGTTCATACCCTCCTCCGTTCCGTTCTCTCTTCCCGCCCCGGGACCAGTCTCCGTCATGCATCTGGTGGCATTCGCAGACATGTGTTTATCACAGATGACATATTTCTGTGTCCACAAATAATATGCAGGGGTGTTTGCACGCGTGTGCGGGTGGAAGTTTGTTCCTGTGGATACGTTTACCTTAAAAGTTAAGCTGCTGCCTAGTTGTTGCGTGTTGAAAACGACTCTGCTGGCCCTTCCTGGGGCTGGTGGAGTTGAGGTGGCTCCAGACTTTCCAGAGTCACAGCTGTGCTGCAGCGACAGTTCTGTGTGTCTCCTCGGGTGAAAGGACGGTGTTTCACTAGACACTGGTTCTCGAAGGGGAGCCCCAGATGCAGCAGCTTCAGCGTCACCTGGGAACTTGTGAGGAACGTCAATTCTTGGGCCTCACTTCAGACCTCTGGAATCGGAAGGTTTGGTATTAAGGCCCAGAAATCTGGGTTTTAAGCAGCACCCCAAGTGATTCTGATCCAAGCTTGAATTTGAGAACCTGCTCTAGGATCCGTGTTGAGGGGATGTCTGCACTGTAGACGGAGAGAATCTTTACCTTGACATTATTTTCAGGTTGGTGTGCAGTGTGGCGTCCCCTCCTTATCACCGTGTGACGATTCCTCCTACTTCAGTTCTCGTGCAACCATTGCTACTGTAAGACTTGACGTTTTGCATCCTGAAGGCGGTGGGGCGGTCTCGTTGTATTCTTCTCTTTGTTTGTTTGCAAATCCTTGATTACTAATGAGATTGCATGTATTTTTCTAAAGTTTATTGACTCTTCATGTTTCCTTTTCTGTTAATTGACTCTGTGTCCTTAGCTCATTTTCCTGTTGGGTGGTTTGTCTTTTTTTGACTAATTTATAAATATTCTTTATATATTTAAGATAGTAAGCCTTTGTCAGCTATGACTTGTTTTGTAACCTGTTTCATAGTGTCTTCTGTTATGCATGTGTTTGAAAATGTTAATTTTAGTTAAATTTTAAAATCTACTTTCTGTT